CTTGGACCACCAGCCCGGAAGTTGAAAGACAAGCCCACTCAACCCCCTTAGGGTTAGGGTTTAGGGTTTAGGGTTTAGGGTTTAGGGTTTAGGGTTTAGGGTAGTGTTATTAGGGGTACCCCTTAAAGGGCAAGGGTTTAGGGTTTAGGGTTTAGGGTTATTGAGAGGGTCTATATCCCCAAGGGTCCCCCTAATCCTAGCTCCAAAACCCTAAAACCTAGATGCCCAACCATAGGCCCCATAGTAGTTCCTTTTTGTGGCTTATGTTTAGGATCCTATTGGGTAATCCCCAAAAGGAACTACTTTGGGGCCTATGGATAACCCTAAAAAAATCCTGAAGTACCCTGAAACCCTAAACCTAAATCCCAAAAATAACACGTAAACACACTGAAAGCCTACATCTTTATCTCCGAACCCTAGACCCTAATCCCCAAACCGCCCTAATTCCCGAAATATCCGGAGGCCAAGCTGCTTGTGCCACAGTGGTTCGGTGATGACTGGCCTGTGATGCTTACTCTGAACCCGCCATCTGTCTGATAGACTTCACGCAGGAGTTGGGACAAAAGGCCTTGGCAAAGACGTTTAGCTTTGGTGTAATATGGGGGGGAGGGGCCGTAACAACTATTAATCAGATTGCAAGGACCACTTATGAACCAAAGTTTGCCCTTTTTGGTCCATGACCACAGCTTATGAGGGTTAAAGGTGTTTAGGTTTAATGCATCTCAAAATCCGCCCTTTTGCCGCTACTTGCCGCTACCGGGGTGTAGTATGAAGGCAGCACTCTTTCTGAGCCGACAATGCACACCTTACCAAATTAGATTAAAATGAAGCCTAACCCTAAACCCTAAACCCCAACAATCCTCTTTTGGTTGTCATTACTAGGCCCCTATATTCTCGAGTTTAGGTAAGGACTCAAGAAAAACGATGGTTTAGGAACATGGGTTTCGGCTGGTAGTAGCTGCAGTACCTAAGGTTCAGATTTCATAGCAGGGAATTGTGGGCTCTCGCTGTAAAGCTTTTGTCGGGAATGTGGGTTTCGGGCTTTCTGTGATCCAGCAACCTAAGGTTATGCCCTCATTCCAAAACTGGGGCCTCAATCTAAATCCTAAACACCCAACACCCCAAGCCCTGGCCCCTAGTTGTGGAGCACTTCTTCGGAAGTTTTCTATACCCTAAACCCTGAACCCTAAACCCTCAACAGGCCCGAAACCGTCAATCCAAAAGCCTAAGCCCTAAACCCTAAACCCTAAACCCTAGACCCTAAACCCTAAACCCTAAACCCTAAACCCTAAACCCTAACCCTATACTTTTCGTGGCTCTACAGGTTCTCTCGGGATCTGCGGTGCCGGGGACTTACTTTGGGAGCCATGGCCCCGAAAGGAAAGGACTCCAAAAAGGCGGAGAAGGCGCACGGCTTAGGGTTTGGGGTTTAGGG